TTCTTCCCCTTCTTATATTTGCACTGCAAATAAATCCTGCTGAAAAATTGTAGCCTAATGGGGAGATGAGTGTCAAGACCCATGATGTGAATTATTTAAACTCCTGTGAATTGTGACAGAGACAATGCATAGTGCTGGGTCTTGCCTATGTCAGCCTGATCCCAGCTGCTGCTTTGGCTTGTTGGGGTTCAGGCTATTTTGCTTTCCAAGACACTGTAATATAATAGTTTGATTCAGGGCTGCACTCTTAAATTCAAACCTTAGCTGGTGGGGCAGGCTGGTCATAATACCATCTCTAAAATGGTTTGGTAGTGCTTTTGAATTTTGTCTTTGAGAAGCATTTAGTATTTTGCCGATCTTTGATTAGTCAGTGTGCACGTGTTTATGTTTGAAGAGCTAGTCTTAAAAATAGTCTGGTTTCAATGCTAATTTATTTTCTAGAGCCACACTTCTGAACTAGGCTGAAGGCTGCATGCTAGAAATGAAGTACACCCTCCCCCTGGGGACAGCTACCCCGAATGACCTGGCATTTGCCACAGAGAATGTGCACACAACCAGTTTTCTTGCAGCGGTTGCCATGCAATATGTTCACGCCTAGCTTACCTCAAGACAAATTACTTATCTTCCTGTAGGTAGAGTAAAACTATTGCATGCACTTAGCTTAGCAGCACACTGGCTTCTGGCCAGGGTGGCCTGTCTGTGTCATGGCAGCATAGGTGCTGTAACCTTGCTCTGCAGACTAGGACTTATGCTGTTGACAGGGCTGTAACTTCCACCCTAAACTGTCTTTTGCTTCAAGTTGCCACAGCTGTGTTCAGCGTTGAATGTAGCCCTGGGACAACACAAGAGGTAGGCTTCATGCTCTGTGTGCTGTTGTGTTTCTTTGACTGCTTCCTCAGATTGCCAGGTAGCTCTGATGATCCTGGGCTATGAGGTTTTAGCAGATGTGGGCTGATACTGTTGGTGAAAGTAGTATGCTGCTGCTGACCCTGAATTCTTGCAAAAATGAACCAACCGCTCCCCAGCTATGTAAATTCCAGCCTCCTGTAGGTGGATGAAGTCTATAGAAAAAGGAAAATGAAAAGAAGCCGTGAGTGGATTGGTATATTCTTCCAACACAGAAGGAGGAATGCTGCTGTTTAGTGATCTAGTTTATGAACTGGAGGAAAAGAAGAAAGCCCCCTTAGCCTCCTCTTCTCCCTGGTTGTTGTGCAGTCTCCCTCTGTGCGCTGAGGCTTTTAAGACCAGGCTGGGTAATGCACTGAACTGGCCCTGCTTTGAGCAGAAAGTTGGACCATGTACCTCCTGGGATTCCTTACTGCATGAATTTTTGTCTCATGTTGCTGAGAATCTGATACCACCTCTCCATGTGCACATGTATGTTCCAGTTCTGGTAATAACATCACCTCAGGGCATTGGAGCTACATGATACAATGTCTTCCTTTGGCAAGGACTGAGTGAGAGGAAAGTGGAAATAAGCCTTCATAAAATCTTTGATTTCAAGTTTCCATAAATGAGAGCAGTACGTTTCAGCTCTAGGAAGAAATTAGTTCAGGGACACCTCTTACAAATGTTATGGGTTTGTTTTTCTTCTGATGTAAATGTAGATTAGCTTCAGAAGGGGAGAAGAAGGGGGAAAAGATTATAGAGAGATCAAGAGCCAGTGTTGAATCTTTGGGAGAACTAGAGGAGGTGAATGGAAGCCTTATATTTATGCAGGAGAGAAAAGCAGTGTTTTTCTATACAGAGAGTTACTGCCTATGAACTGAGTAGAAAGAGTTTGTTCTTTTGAAAAGGGTAATCTGGAAGCATGTCTCTCTTTAAATCTTGAGCTTGGGCCATACTGTATTAGAAATCTGTATCTTCACTATATAAACTGCTCTTATATATGTATGTATATATTTAAATTTGGACACTCGATTAATGCGATAAAAATCTTAGTATAGATGAGTTATAAATTGGTATTATCTTAGCATAACTGGTTGTGAAAAATACCCAAGTCCTTTTACCCTAATCAGCTACGAAGCAAGCATATGGCTTTATGCTTTGCTTGGAAGCCAATTCTGTCTTAGCAAGAGCTACACTTTTCTTACTAAATCCAGTGTAGAAGTAGCATGCACTTTCATGGCTTTCTGACACTTTTTAGGAAGTGAGTTGAATTTAAAAGATATGTTGTGCTGCAAAGCTTTTTCTGTGCTGCTAACTTGAGGATGGAAAAGAGTTAGAGGAATCTGTGCTCTCTGGACTGGAGGTCTTGTAAACAGTCTTGTCCAACTGCACCTTAAGCAAAACTGTAATTGTTGGGACTTTGCACTGAGGGAACTGAATTGGTGGCTGCAAGAGTAGGGAACTTTTGTTGTTGTTCTTCTGTTCATTTTGTCTGCTGGATTTGCAGTCTGCTTGCTCTAATTTTTCTTTTTATTGTATTTCTGTGGTAGGGGAAGAATGGCCCTGTTTGGATTCTGTAGATGATTTTATACTCAGACTTCAGGCCAGTGCATATGGTATTAGCAGAAAGAACCATGACTAATGTCATGTCATGTGGGTCATTTTTCCTTCTTGCCCTTTACGAGTAGAAAAATGTGTGCAATGTAGCATAGTATCTGTTTTAATACACTGTATATTGCTCTGTACTTAGTGTGGCAAGAAAGCTTTTCGGAGATGTTTGTTCCCCTGTATCTGATCAGCGCCAGCTCTGTTTTTCTGACTGCATGGATGGGCACGTTTGTTGTCAGTACTTGGTGCTGGCAAAGGCTGCTTGCTTTCCTCCCCCACATCAGAGCTTAGATATAGTAGCTCCATGCAGTGGGCTGTAGCATGTATGTAAATGACTTTTTATCAGCCTGTTCTCTCTGTGTGACATCTCCCACGATAACCACCTCCATACAGACTGTGCTAGGATGGCTCTTGCAGTTTGATTAAATGCTGCATGTGTATGAATGTCAGTGGATTGTACTCGGTTTCTTTCAGGGCCCTCAGTGCCACTCTGCACTTAAGGGGATACTGTCTCTGAAATACAACACTTCTTAAAATTTATCTTCAATTAAGGGGAATGACTGGAAATGCAGAGGCAGATAAAACTGAGACACATGTAAGAAGACTATTTGTATGCTGGCTGATCTAGCTTCAGCACAGTATGTATGGTTCCTTTTTCTGTATAGAGTTAACATACTCTTTTCCCCATCATTACATAGTGACAGGGTTAGGTAATAGAAATAATAGGAAAACAGTCTATGATATAAAGGCAGAGACTTCATAGATGGGCTAGAAGACAAAATCGGTTATATGTTGGGTGCTGTACAAGTTGTATGTCACTAGAAAGGAGAGAATGGGCATTAGTTAAAAGCAGAAAAATTATTGTCGTCCCTGCCCCCAACATACTGTTGTTCTGAAGTAAATCTACTCCTCCTGCTCTCTGGTCAGGAGTTTCAAAGGTGAAAGTTACTAACATGTTCCTCCAAGATATGGGTCTTTGAGGGAACGTGCCATGTGCTTCTGAATTGGGAGAGGGCAGGAGGAGTGGGGAGCCACCTCCTGAGCTTGCACCAGCGGGGCATCTTCTCTTCTCAACCCACTGAACTAACTGCTTGTGTCTGGCTCAAACTTAAGACATGAGATAGGGAAACTCCTAGCAGAGTAACCAAGGGGACAAAACAGAAATGTTGAACATGAGAAGTAAACAAAGCTAAGACTGCCTAGGAACCTCAGGCTCCTCCAGCATGAGTGCTCATACTGCACCATTTATCATGGGGAAACTTGGCTCCCCGTTGCCACCTCGCAAGGGTTTGTTGTCAGACTCCTGAAATGAGCTGTGCTGCCTCCCGGGATCACGGGGGCCAGGGAAAGTGTGGCTCCTCATGTGAGGTACAATCCTTTGCCGTATGCTACAGCAGACTACGTTGCTTCCTTGGAGATGCTGTCCAGATAGCTGAACTCTTTGTTCTTCCATCACATCTGTGGATCTGTGCCAGGACCACTAGGATTTTGTGCTACATCTTACACATTTTTCATTGGTATTAGGGAGTGTTGTTATATACAACATTTATTGGGAAGCATTTGCTGAACTTTATGTAACCTGTGTTAGACTACTGGGCATCAGTGCAGTTGTTCTTGGTGTAGACCTGAGTTTTCAAGCAGTGGTGTATTGTAGAGATCCAGTGTGACATAAAAATCTACACTGATCAGAGTAAAATCAGTATGTGGATGTGTGTAGCCCCTCCAAATAGATTTAGAGATACAGAGGTTGCTGTAGTGTGATGCTAAACAAGGATCTGATAATAAAATATTTTCATGTAGGGACAATAGCTGTAGGTCTTCAATTAACATGCTCTTTGTTTGTAGGTGGGGTTGGATGATGATACAAGGAAGAGTTTTAGTATTACAAAACCCTGGGTTTTTTCCTTTCCTTGGAAAAGTGGGTGATCTTGTGATTAAGAGTCTTGTGCCTTGCCAAGAGCTTGCTGTGTGTCCATGTGCAATTTGCATGTGCTCAGATTATTCAAGAGAGGCCTCAGATTTTCCAACTTCGTTTTTGTATCATTTTCCCTTTTTTTTTTTTTTTTTTTTTCCCTCCTCAAAATTGCTTATTGAAGGCTTCACTTGGAATAGTGTATGCTTAGAAATTATCAAATCCACTATCAAGGTGTTTCTGAAGCAGCACTTGCACTGAAGCACCCCAAATCTATAGCCATATTTGGAAATATAGGCCTTAATTTCTCTGCTTGCTCATCCCTACCGGAGGTATTGTATGTCCTTTCTTTGTAAAGTGTTTGAAAGGCACTGTAGAAGTGTGCAGTGGCACTGTGTGTTAGAGCAGCATGACAAAAATGCCTTGCATGTGTAGGAATTGTATTTTCCTGGGGTTCTTTTCCTGAAAGTTGGTAAAACAAGGAGGAAACCCACCTGTGGAAAAACTTTCCTGTCAGCTGGTAAATGAAGGAATGACATGGTTATGTTGCTGTTGGTAGGCTCCAGTTAAAGAAGATGTTGCCATTTTGCAGGTCTGTCACTGGAGCGCTCAACTAACTCAGTTGCCTCACGTGCTCGACTGTGTGAAAGGGAGGAAGAAGTCATGGCTTGTTTTGAGACAGCGTGTGTCATTGCCCAGGTGTACTTGCAGGAGCTTGAAAAGGTAAGAGGAAATGTGTTCAGGGTGTTGCCTGGTGTCCTGGGTGGAATTTCCGAGGTTTTGGCAGGAAAAATGATGGGGAAATGCCATGTGAGTTTAGACAATAAGGAGTATGAGAACAAGTTGGAAGGAATGAGGTGTCGCAGTAGAAGCAGTTGCAAAACAGCAGTTTATCTTGTCTCTGCCTGTTTCCTTGGAGAATGATGTCTAGAAAGCACTGAATACCTCAGATACGCTCAGGTTGTATCTCAAGTTTAGCTCTTACTAAAGAGGGACTACGAACTTCACATAGCAAGTGCCAGTATGAAGGAACTCAAGATGTTACATATCTGCTGTGTAAATGATACTCAGTAGTGGATATTGAGTTCCCTAACAAGCTGAAAGTAACCTTTTGGGTCAGCTGTAGCAGTTTAACTGCCAGTGCTTCACCTTCTCCAAGTGAAACTGGAGGAACCTAGATTAGTAGCAAGTAACTGCTTAGTCAGTGATTGGCTAGGATGGTAAGATGAGTACTGTGAGCCCTCCATTGAGATGTTATACGTGCCACTGATTTGCTGGGCATATGCTTCATGGTGTCTGTCTGGGTAACTCTGCCTAGCTGAATTTAACAGGGCACACCATGCGCTTCCATGCCCTTCCTTTGCCGCATGCTATGCTTGACACCAGCAGCACTGATGGCAGTGCATGTTACCTGTTCTTCTGTAACTTAATGGCCTTTGAGCTTCTGATCAGTTATTTCAGCTCTTCTCAATGGCAGAGGTATATATCTGTTTCAGGTTTTGTTTTTAATTGCATTAAAACAAGAAAAAAATAGTTTAGTACATATATAAAAATTCATTAAGAAAGCCAGCTAACAATTTGGTCTGTTTCTTTGTAGGAAAAAGCTGAATGGCTATTGTATTTAAAAGTAAGTACTGTCCATCCCTTGTGGAAGGATGAGTTCCTGCCAGTACTGGGCACTGTAAAAGTTTTTACTGACAGCTTGTGTCTGTGAAGAAGGGAGAGAGTTTGAACTGTAATTCAGTCATCTTCTGGACAGAGACAGGGATGCAGGATTACTGATAGGTGTACTAAAAGTCCATAGGCCTTCTCCAGTCCTTGGATGCAAAACCCTGTTTTGGAGAGTCCACACAGGGCAACTTTCAGCAATGAAACGAGTTTGTTACTAATTAGGAAGCAAAAGCTGGAAGGATTTGATAGGAGAAACAGAGGAAGGGCTAAAATTCTTCCATCATGACTCCTGTTAGCTTACTAACTCTTAACAAATATTTATGTTATGTTAAGCTAGACATACCTACTCAAACATTGCACTAATATTTCTGTGCAAGATGCTGGATCTGTGTGGTTGGAGTAGTACTTCTGAAGCTCTTGGTATTAATGTGTAGCTTTCTACTTTATTAAAGGTTGGAAAGTAATAAGGAATGGTGTTTCAAAACTCCCATTGCATGCAGAGTATTTTGTGGAAGTTGCTGTATAGTTTATTTTAAAGTTGACTTTGAAAGGTTTTTGAATAGCTAATGAAAGTAAGTTTTCAAGTAGTCTGAGGAAGAATTTTATGGCAGAAGCTAACATTTTATTGTTGGAGATGTCTCTGTCTCACAAGGAACTGGCTAGTTGAAACAGTTGTCTGTAATCCCAGATATTTCTTTCCTCCTCTCACAGACCTTAAACAACACACATTCAAGGAGTATCAAGGGCAGCAACGTGACTTACTCTGAGTTTGAACTTTCCTACTTCCTGGAAGCAGCTCTACAGAGTGCCTATGTGACTCATTTAAAGAAGGGGTAGGTGGATGCAGATGTTAATAAAAATAGATAATGTCGTATGTTTTATCTCAGAACAGATGAAGGCTTATTTCTTTGTATGTGTTCTGTTGTGACATTTTGCTGCTGGCTCACCTCAAGTCCCCTCAGTATCCTTTCCTTCCTCCTATTTGTCTCTCTCTGTCTCTCTTAAGAGTCCTAAGCCTCATTTTTCCAGACCTACAAACAGGGTGGAGTAGAACAGTTTTGTTGTCTTGACTCAGCTCTGTTCCCTGTGGAGATGAGGGGAGTTTGACCTTAAAGAGAGAGGGGAATTTACACTGCTGTGTGCTGTTAAAATGTTCAGCCGCAGGGGCTGGTCTAGAGCTCAGTAAAGTCTTGAGGGTAGTTTCTTTCATTTATCTCGTTGTTTATTTAAGGTCTTAAATATCCCAGTCAATACCCCAAATCTGTATAGAGAGAATGAATGCAGGAACAGTGCTGCTCCACAGTATTTACTATGCCTCTGAAATACAGCCCCCGTGAAGCTTGGAAGGGCAAGAGGAGTTGGTATCTGCAAGCTTATAGTGAATTTCACCCAAGGAAAACCTTTCCAAGAACAGTAAAAAACATTTTTAATGCTCATTTCTGAAGGGTATTGGTGAGGGCACGCTGTTATCTAAACCAGGCCATATCTTCAAAATATAATCAACTCTCTGTAGTTGATGGAGAGATTGCTATGTAGGGAGAGTATCTCTTCAACCTGTGTGAACAGTACTTGTAAGAATCCATCTTTCTTCTGTAGCCTTGTTCTTGCACCGTATTGTCCCATTTGTTCTCAAGGAATCAGATACTGAATTTTTTGCTGCTCTGTGTAATAATGCTGGTCAAAGTTTTATAACCTTTTAAGCAGACGATCTTTGAAAATATTTAATTTTGGCTGCTTTTTTACCTTCATCCCCAGTCAAAGATATTCTCTCTCTTTTTCTTCACTCCTCCTTTTCCTGCTGAGTAGAATGGAGAAGAAAGTGAAAAAATGAGGGGAGATTGAAGGGAAGAAAATTAGAAAAAAAAAAAAATCCCAGCAAAAATCAGTTTAAATTTTTCTGTAGAAAATTTATACCATTTTTTGACTCTGGAGGAGGGTTTGCTTCTTGTTTAGAGCTTTTTTGCTGTTTTTTTTATCCCCCCAAGACTGACTTTAAATGTAACTGTTCCCCACTCTTTCATTAAAAACCTGCATGTACAGGGAAGCTGTACATATAAGCATATTCATGAGAGGTGCCTTCAGATAAGCCTTGTTTAACCCAAAGGTTTATGAATACACAAAGCCCAAATGTTGTGAAATGACCCCTTGGTCAGGTGAGTACAAGTTTTATGTGTAAAGCAAGTATGGACTTACAAGTATGAGGCGTAGTCTCAGTATCACCTTGGCAGCTGGGGACAGGTATGTGGTTTTCCCAGGGAGTTGGTGGTTGACCAGCTGTGGCACAGTGTGTGCTTTTCTAGCCTTTTGCTGTTCTCATGGCAAACAAAAAGCTCAGGTCTTGCCAGTAAGCTCATTAACTATGTAATAAAATCTCATTTAGAACATATGGCACTGATATCCTCTAGGCACCTTTTGAATATCAAAGTCACTCATGTTAATTTTATTCAGCAATGTTTAAATTCAGTCTTCATCAGTTCGATATATCCAGTGGGTTGTTTTAGCTATTATTGTGGGCCCCTGCTTGCCCCATGTTATTGTAATGATAGCTTTTTTTTAAAAAAAAACCCCCACAACCCTACAGGACAACAATTTGGAATCAAAATGCATGTGTGAATTAAGCAGTGCTTTGATTATAAGCTGAATTGCAGCAATAGCAGCAAAATGTTCTCTGTAGCTGTCTCCTGATGAGAGAGCATCCCAGTTGGTGCAGTGGAGTTCCCGTGGCAGGGATGGGAGTGGAGCCCCACGCATTCCTCACCTCCTCCAATGCAAGCGAGAAACACCAGCCAGGGAAATGAAAGGTCTGGTGGGGGGGAAAAGGAGCCCGATGGGACTTGGCAGTTTGTCTCTGTGCTCCCAGCTAGTATTAATGTGTGGGTTTTGCCACGAGAGGGCATTAGCAGCATTGGGATATATTAAGGAAAGAGGAGGGAAGTGGGAAGAAGCTTTCTAGGATGCTTCATGAATATAATAAATTTCTCCACCCAATATTGAACAGCTCAAAGAAATTCTTTTGTTTTCCCTATTGCTTCCAGCATGTTCAGGTAGGAAATAAGTCTTGGATGGTGAATGTTCAAGCTGGCAGGGAGCTAGGTCCTATCAGGTGGGATGTCCTTTCCCAGCAGCACACGTGTACAAAAGTAGAGTGCTTTACTCTTGTCTCACCGGGCAGAAGAGCTGAAAGATATGTGTGGTGCTGTCATGCGTTTGTTCCTGCTGGCAGGAACAGGCATGCTCCTCACAGAGCATGGTCAGGGATGACCTTTTCTCTTGCAGTGGAAACAGTGCACCAGTGCAAAACAAGGTCAGGTGTCCCTTTTCAGATGTTGAGCCACCAGGTGTAAGGACCAGCAAGTCTTGCAGTTGTGGAAGTCCCAGATGCTTTTAATAAGATGTTTACTTAAAACTGTTGTGGTGCTGAAGACACATTTCCTGCAGTTGTTTGCCCTGCTGCATCCCAAGAAAGCTTTCTTTTATTCTTCTAGTGAGCAGTGTTGATGCTGTGGATGCAGAATACAGGCAGGCAGATGTTGTTACACTGTAGGAGGCAGTCAGGTGCCTTACATGTTAGCATCTGCTCTGGGTTGTTTTTTTTTTTTGTTTTTTTTTTTTTTTTTCCTGATGTGGATGTGTGAGGATTAGGCTCCTTTCCTACTGCCTTTCCTGTCAGAGTATTGAATGGGTATTACTACTTTATACTGTTATTGGGGCTTTGGTCAAGATGCCCTTAGTATTTTCTTAGGGTGAACAGTCTTCACCTGTGTGAAGTAATGGTCATGTGTATGCTGCTCTCTTAATGGCACTTGAAGTATGCGTGGAGTTTTACAGGCAAGACAGCTTTCTAGAGGATGCAGTTGGTTTTGGAAGCTCTAGATGGGATGCTTTTGAAGAAATTTAATTTCTGAAAAATAAATATTAAGCATTTATTAGAAATTGGATTTCCTTATGATCCTTTAAGTCAGGACCTAAATTACTTTGGAAAATACTGATGAAAATGCTTAGTAGGGAAATCTTACACAATTCTTTCTCTTGCCTTCTGTCAGTTTTCTAGAGTGCTTAGTTCCCTTTTTGAAATTTTGTAGGCTTCTGCTGCAAGGGCACTTTGAAAGAGTAACTTCATGTATGTGTTGTTTTACAGTAAAATCTAATGTATGACGGCAGGCAGGACAGTCTCTGCTAGATTATTCATCTTTGAGGAATTTGTGGGCTTTCTTGTCATTTGTCTCCTCTTCAGTCCTCACAATCTAGCACCTTATCCGGGACACTGTAGTTGATAATTTGGGAGTGAGTCTTACTTTCTATCGGATGGTGTATGGATCTAGATAAGTGCTAGTCTTTTATTTTGTGGGGTTTTTGGGGTTTTTTTGAGCACCCCACTTCTCTTAGGCTGACATTTGGAAACTAATGTGCTGCTTTGTAGTTACTTGTCTGGTGTCATCACTGGTAGGAATCTGAGATTCAGAGGCTTTCTTCAGGTGCATTTTGTGCCTATGTATGAACAGCTGTCTAAGGAGAGAGTATGGATTTTTAGAAACCTGGACAAGATGCAAAGATGTGCAAGGAGCTGGGCAGAGGCAATGGTGCTGTTTGTGTGCTTCAGGTACTGCTTTCCCCTGGAGAGGTAGCTCTGCAAACTGCCAGGTAGTCATCTCAAGATTGTCTCTTCCATCTATTAGTAACTAAATGTTTTAACAATTAATGAGTGGACATAATAACAAGATCTTCTGGTGCCTGTGTTGCTGGGGTTCTGTCTTTGCAGACTTCTGTGCCTATGGTCCTCTCTGGTTCATTATCAGTATTTTTCCCAGCAATTTGCATAGAAAACTGTATTTCTTGATTTTCTTGTATCTTAAAATTGTGTAGTGTTAACCAAACAATATGACATAAATGTGATATGACTGCTTTGATTCATGGACTAGTAATTAATTACCCTGTATTAACAGGGTACTTAAACAAACAAAACAGATTTTCATGTCAAGCTAGAGTGATTGGACTCAAGGTGCTCTTTGTCACAGTTTGTGCCCATGTGTTCTTCTTTGTTATATTAGCTGTAATTGAATCGTAAACCACATTTCATAATGTGCTTTTTTTAAATGGCTCTCTTGCCACTTTTGTGGCTAAAACCAAGGCAGTTTAACGACATTGTACTTTTTCCTTCCTGTTCTCCCTCATTTCTTTTTCTGGCATCTTAGCCATGCAGTAGAGGCTCATGGACTCTTCCAGCTCGTTTAATTTCCATGATCTGATGTTCACTTATGATGCCTTGGCTTGAGGCAACAGTACCCGGGATTTCCATGTAGTCTTCTTAACAGAATCCTGCAGAGACTCAAGATTGCTTAGTTTCTAATCTAGACAAGATCAAATGGGTTCACCATGGATTGCCAGAGACTTTATGTTTGCATTCTCATCCACTTATCTGCATTTCAATTCAAATACATACTTTTATCTTTGTTAACTTCTTCAGGTCCTAATGTAAAAAAAAATCTCTTTGAGTGCATATTTAGTATATGAAGGACATTGACTAATGAAACAGTAAGTTCCTTATCATTATGAGTAGCACAATTCATATGCTTAAAATGAAATGTGTGCTCAGATGGCCTTCTGGCTTGGAACAGTAGAGCGGAAAGACAAACTCCTGTAGTGGGGTATGTTTGCAGACTGCTGGCAGGTGTGCTCTGTCTCCTGTCATGGCTCAATAGTGTTTGATAAAGTTAAAAACATAAAAGCTGCCAAACCAAATCCTTAGTCCTGTAGAACAGGTATTGTTGTCAGATGCTTTGCGTGTCCCAGTGTGGAGAACTCTGAGTGCGGAGCAGGCACTCTGACAGGCCCTGACCACGCAGGCATCTGTCTGGGAGGTGGCAAGTGCTGGGTGCTCCTCCCAGGCTGCCCATTTTGCACTCCTACCTTCTGCTTGAAGGTATTCCTAGGCATTTGTCACGTGGCTCATGGTTTCAACTCTTGACTGCTTGCAGATGGGCAGCAATTTGCCATTTATTCTTTCATTCACTTCAGTGTGTCAATATTACTCCATTTTCCTCTCCCTTTTCCTGCAGAGCAAGGTGTTCCTGCCACAAAGCTCAACTTGGTTTGAGGCCTTATCTAAAAAGTGGAACTGAAATGGTGGTCCAGTTGTCTGGGAACAAAAAGTCTCTCTTTAACACCTTCCCTAGCTTTTTCATCTCTTAAGTATGTGCCAAATGTGGAATTAATTGGCTTTGCAAGTGGTCACTAATATTCCTTCTGATGCTAGTTAATGGAATTCATTGGCACTTTATTAAGACAAATACCATTATCCTAACAAGAAATCTAAACATATGCATTCTTAAAAATGTTGTAGAACTGTTATACACCGTAACTCTTCTGTCCAGCCTTGTAAGGAGCCCAAGGAAGCACAGGAAATGCCAGTATTTTCCAGTAAGTCTGGAAAGCAGTTGGGCAGGTGCATTTTGTTTAGACAGGAGAAATTATTGATTTTGCCTATCTGATAATAAAGAGTATGTGAACAGTTCTGCTGGATTTGGTGTGACTGCTCATGTGCATAAGTATCATCACATGCTTTATTGTTTTCCTCAGCTTAAGGTCTAGAACTGCATCTTTGTGGGTATAGTCTTTCCTAGATCCACAGAAAAGCACGTGATGTCTTGACCCTGTAATTGGAGAATTTTCTGAAGCATTAAGTCCAACTTATAAAAACTTCCTTGAGCTTTTTTCCCCTTGATAAATTCAAAATACACCTTTTACTTAGGAGAAAATGGAAGGGGAAAAAAAAGAAAGATGACATCTGACTTTCTCCACAGGGGCAAGTCTCCAGTGTTTTTGCTTTTGCCTTACTTTGTTGCTTCTCTGTAGATTGCCCGCAACTAGGTAACCTACAGATTACCTCAAAGTTTAAAATTTCAAGATGAGTACTGATGGGAAGTAAGGCCGCACACATTTGCAATCTGTGACTTGGTGACCATAAGCTTTAGGGTGTCATTTTATGTAGCCAACATTCATGTTAAATGTGATCACATTTTAAATTTTTTTCCCCCTGAAAATAATTACTTTTTTTTATTTCTTCAAATGTTTGCCATTGATTCTGGAATGCAAGAAGGTTTGCAGTGCGTAAAAGTGGGCCTAAGTGCAGTCTGTATTGCTTACCTTCAAAATTTCATCAGATTGACAAAAAAGGCTTTTTTTTTTTTTTTTTTTATGAAATCTAGGTTTCATCTGCACAGAAAATTCTACTGGAATAAGCTTAAGTGGCAGTTAATGTATCAGTACAACTGCTTATCTGGTTGTCTTTATTTCAATACAGCATTGTTTCTTTTCTGGTAGCTTGTATTTCTTCGAGTACCTTCCACCCTGCAGTGAAAGTGATCTGAACTGTTTTGTAGTTACTGTGGTGGTAGGACCTTGTCCTTAGCCCTGAAGAATTTATAGGCTGCAAGTGTGTTAACTAGTATGTCCAGTATTTAATCTTTCCTCTCCACATTTCTCTTACTGGTTAGACATATGATTAAGATACCATTTGGCAACTAGTCTGCTTTAATTGCTCACGGTGTATGCGGAATAATGTGATTTTTTTTTTTTTTTTTTTTTTTTTTTTAGTCTAACCCTCTTTTATTGCAGGTTAAGCTGTGCTTGCAGACAGTCAGTGCAACTTATCTGCCTGATAATAAACTGTTCAAAGCACTGTAATTTCATCATATGTTTGGACCATCAGTCACAAAGCGTTTAAGCACCACCTAAAAGGAATCGTCATTTAAAAGCATTACGTAAGCTCAGTATAATTCAAACAAGTACAATCTGTGTGTATGAAGAAGAGATGTGAATGCTTTTATGAAGAAGCATCTGCTTTATAAATATGAGCTACGAAAGGCTTCCAAATGTCCCCTCTGTTCATCAAATGTGAATGTGATCTTCTCCTAGGAAGCCATCTGGAGTAGGCATGCTACAGTCGCTACCTCACTCAGTGCCATTGTCCTATCTGTGCCTCGGAGTGACTTGTCTCGCTACTGCATGCTCAGTGGTTGCTTCATGGGTTTGTTTGATGTCAAGTTTGTTGCCAAGATCTGGCACATCATAAAAATATTTTGTCTCCAGTGTGCTGTTTTGGGGGGTTTTTTTATGATGGTTGTTTTTTTTCTGCCTTCCCCATAGAAATATTGTGAAAGGAATGAGGAGTCTGCGAGAAATACTACGGACTGTGGAAACAAAAGCTACTCAGACCTTCAAAATGGTAAGGGGAATGGGAGATGGGAAGGTGGGGTAATCTGCTATGCAGGAATTCTCTCTGTTTATTGACGCATGCAATAGGACGAAAATGTATTTGTCCTCACTTGATTATTTACTGCATTTTTCTTTCTTCTTTTTTTTTTTCTTTAAACTTTTGGAAGTGATTTGTCAAGTGATGCACTTAATTCAAAGACCTGCCCAATTAAAACCTCCAAGCCTTCAGACCTGGGCATGTGGGTTACTTCTGTGGGTTGTGTTTTTTTGGTTGTGGTTTTTTTTTGTTTGTTTGTTGGGGTTTTGTTGTTTGTTTGTTTGTTATTTGTTTTTTTGTTTGTTTGTTTGTTTTTGTTTTTTCGTTGTTTTTATTTTTTCAGTGCGTTTTCTAGCCCTGGTAGAAATAAGGTTGTATTTAGTTTGACAGTCCTGTCCTCAGGTGATGTCTTGTTTTTGTTCTCGCTTTTCAGTGTGTGCATGCACACCTTTTTGCATTTGCATGTAGGAGCATTAAGTACTTCTGGCTCTTGCAACAAGCGGTGCTTTTTTTTATACTCAAGTGCTTCAGTGTTCTGTAAAACTCCCTTCAATACAGTACAGAATGATTTTAATTTTATGAATATTTTTTTTTTGTTAATGTTGGCATTCTGCCTCTGGTAAAGAAATCATGGAGAAAGTTATTTACGTGCCTGTTTAACTTCTTAGACCTTTAACTGCTTCTTCCCTGTCTCCCAGTTAAGAGACCTTGTCCTGAAGTTACTCAGGAGGTGACGAGGTCAACAGCATGGAGAATAGCAATCTTGAGAACAAAAAGAAAACTTTGCAGCCTTAAAAGCATTGACGTTGATACGACTAAACTTTTTTGCTTGGTTCAGCTTTGTATTTTGTGTAATTACAGAGAGGTTCAGCAAGGGAGGTGGGCATGGGTTTGCATAGCATTTTGGATATGGAGAGTGCCAGGTTCCAATAGACGGACTGATGGTGTGTCTAGCTCACATGCAAATGCAGAGCTAAAATGAAAGTGAGAGCAGAAGGGGTATCCTGGGTGCTTTTTTGTCTAGGTTCCTCACATCTGTGTATTTTGGAACTTCTGTTCTGGAAACGAACCTTCTTGTTGCCTTGGGATCACTTTATGCCTAATTGAGAATACAGATGCATGTGAATGTTTGTGCAGGGAATTAGAAGAGGTGACTTAAATAATTGTCACACTCAAATGGTTGCATCCTTTTCCAGATTGAGATCAGGGTTCAGGGGATTTTTCTTGCTTGCCTGTTTTATCATTTTGCTGAAATGAGTCTAACCATCTGCTGTTTCTATACTGTGACAGAACATGGCACTCAAATGCTCCTGTCCCTGTGCAACTGGGGGGAGCTGTACAACACCCCTGGGGGATCTATCCCTACGGGGAAATCTGAAGGAGTTAATCCAGTAGTTTTTCCTGGGATTTCTATTTTATTGGAAGTTGCATTTTATTTTTTTAACTTATTTTTAAAGAGCTGTCAAGAGGGCAAAGGGAGGAATGTGCTTAATTAAACAAGTTTTTCAAGCATGAAAGTGAAACACATGATTTTTTTTTTTTTTTTTTTTCCCTAATTTGTGGGATCACAGTGTTCTTCAAGCATAATGATGCTTTTTTTAGCCAAAGGCAGTAATAACATAGATCAGAGTCTTGGCCTGTTCTGGTTTGTTTGCTCTTATTCAAAACAAGTGAAGCTAATTTACACAGCTACTGTACTGCATGTTAAAATCAAAGACACTGAAAGTATTTGGTGCTTGCCTTTTGAAAGGCTTATCGCAAACTATACTCCTACTTCTGTGTGAACTAGTAGAGGTCTTTCTGTTGCTGGCGTATTATTTCCTCCCCACTCCCCCCCCCTAAGACTGTAGGAAAAAATATAGGAGAGTTGGCTCCTCAAGGTAAAACTGACTAAATAATTACACACTGAGAAGATAAAATGATACTGGCTAATGTCGCAGGGCCCTAGGCCATTTTGCTCATGGTTACGTGCTATAAAAAGCATTGAAGAGCCTAGTTAGAAACAGAAGGCTTTCTGTAACTTCTCAGTAGGAGTTGCATGGAAGCTCTTGGGGTTTCCAGGAAGTTGTATGTGATGATATTTCTTTTGAGACATTGTCATTCATTCAGATCACTTTGCTAGGTATATCTGTGAAACCTCCCTTTGTGGTGTTTAAGAAACATAGCGCGTGCATGCTACTGGTGTTGCATTTTAGACTGATTCAGTAAATTCATGTGTGGTGAGGTGCATGAAAATAAAGAACCTTGCATCAAAATAAGTTTTTTTTGAATCTGATATCAGGAACTTTAACCTCAGTATGATTTATTTAGTCCTATCAATGTCATACCTCAAGTGAAGTAATGCTTTGGTTTATCAATCGTACCTATCCTGATATTTAAAAGATTACTGTTGGTGGCCTCATAACACATCTCAAAGTGCAAGTTGCATATAAAATACATATGCAGTAGTCAGAGACGTTCCAGAATAATATTTACAAGTATTGTGACAGAAGGGCTGAAGTTTCAGCCTGCCGCTGTTGTGTACAGTATTTACTTTACAGCTTAGAGTGCTGTGCTGCTTAGAATTCACAGAAGATACCACCCATTTTGATGTGTTTCTGCTTGTTCACATGTTCAGCTATTTACAATGCAAAAATGTAGAGATTTCTTGGGTGGGGACAAGGACAAATGCCAAAGATAGTTTTGCAAAGTCAAAGTAACTTGCCCCCTTCTGTGCCCAGGTTGCCAGCTATGCATCTGAACCAGAAAGCAAGTTTTTAAGGATCTTTGGCCTCTCAGTGGTTAAAAAAGTGCATGTGATGTTGCTGTCTCAATATAAAGTTCCTAACCCTCCTCTCACCTCCCTCCATTACTGCAGCAAAAAGAGAAGCAGTAGTGAGATAAGCTATAAAAGGCTGCAGGAATAGTGATATTAAACGGATGAAGGGTTGGTCTTTTAAACCTAATTCAAAAGTAGCCTCTGGCCTGAGACTTGCATACAGAATTGAGTCTGAGAATGCAGTGAAGTGCTATCATATTCTAATATAGTAACGTTTTTGAGATTGTCTCAGTGGTCTCTGTGGCAATCAGTTGTCTTCATTCACCAAAGCTTCCCTTGTCAGGCCTTTTTGATACTTTTTTCTTATAGCATTGCAACACCACCATGTAAATGCAGAAGGCTGGCCTTTTCAGAGTAGGGAAGAAACTGCCACTGCTGTAGACTTTTTAGCATCTGCTTTAGCTACTTTGACTTTCTGAAAAGTGGTACTGTTGTGATGTTGGTACATCTCCTTCTCAAGGTGGAACATGGGGAGGGGTGAATCTTTTGTGTTGGAGAAGGCTTTACTGATGCCTCTTTCTGTGATGTTCACTGATCTCTAGACTGCAGCCAAACAGCTAGCCCAAGTACTTCTCCATTCCCTCAGTGAAGACTGTTACTGGAGCCCTTTATCTGATCCACTTCCTGAGTTCATGAACAAGGAAGATCAGTCTTATGTTAGCAATCTTCTTTGTCGGAGGCCTGAGCTGTACACAGAAGAGAAGTAAGTGTCCTTTTCTATTTCAGCTTATTGGCAAGAGGAAGGAGAGTGAACACTCTTTGGTACTGCTAATTATGTCACCGATACATGTAGTAGTTTTATGTGTTCTTGTTTTTAATTTCCCATCTGAGGGCCTGCTGGAAAAATAAAATGTTAAACCTTGAGTGTTTGATTTTTTTTCTTTACCCAGGAAGGAAGAAAATTCAACCAAATATCTGTCTTTGCTATGAAATGGAAATAATCTATTTATGGTTCAGTATAGCTCATCTAGGATATATTGCAGAGCTTTTAATTGTGTGAACCTGCAAAAGAAGGTATTGCCTAGCAAATGAATTATGCATGAGTTGTTTCAAGTTACTGCTCCTCTTGTGAAAAGAGAAAGAGGCTGACAGCATAACTCTTGACCTTCCTCAGAAAAATGTGTTTGGTCTTTCAGTGCCTACTGCCCTCAAGACAACGTAGAAGAGGCTCTTCTTCTCCTCTTAATCAGTGAATCCATGGTAAGCCAAAAATTAGTTTGTAATACTAATAGCACAAAGGAATATCTAGTGTTTCTGTGTCAAGTCTTCTGGGTGGTTTTGTTTACAGAATCTTCTGAAGATAAACAGAAGCAAGGATTCAGCTGCTAAACAGGAAATGCTATTTATTCCTTTATTAGTGACATCACTTTTATTAAATAGACCGTCAGTAAAGGATTTTGGGAATCAAGAGGAAGTAACTGCATTCACCATAGCTACATGCAGGTTCTGACATCCAGATACACTGTCAGTGTTTCTATTCAAAACATCTGTGTGGATTTATGGATCAAGAATGAGAGGAAAGGAGCCTTGCCTAAAGCCAGGCGTGATGGTGATACCCGCTGTTTGGCATTTGCAGGATGCAATATCTTGCTTACATTCCCTTTCTGCAGCGATAATATTTTAGCTCTTTGTACTGAGTGATCTTTGTCAGTTTCTGATGCTGATGATACAGGGAGTTTTGTCACATGCAGAAACGTCCCTAATGAACTACGATGAAATAATTTGAATTCTTCTATTTATAATATCTGTTGCTTTAAAAAAATCCCTTTAAGAAGAAGTGAAAAAGGTGGAGAAAAACAACGACATGGAAAACTGCATGGTAACCTTTGATAATTTTTGTGTTCTGAGGAGATGAGAAAATACAGAAAATGTATAAGGAATGTTTTCTGAAAATGTGTAAGGAAAGTTACTTTAATGGGTAGTTACTTGTAGCTCAAAGTGAGATTTGAAAAACTTGAAGCATCAACGATGCTCTTAGGAACTTTTAAACAGCTTTCAGATAAGTTGAAAAAAGATACTGTGAAAGCTTGTTTTTTTGCTGCCTTCAATTTTTCTTTGTCTGGTTCTTCTGGCTCAAGTCTTTCCCCTTTTCTTCAAACTTCTTCAGAACATGGCAATTTAATATTGTTTGCTTTTAAAATTTGGGGAAAAAATGGAGGCAGAACCACCCCAAAATATTAAATTAACTTAAAAATTACGTATGTCTGTGTGTTACTATACTGTGTGCTTTTTAGTGCTTTCTAGATTAAGCCTCTACAGTACATCTGCTTTGTGTTTTCAAGGGCTTTTCATAATTGGAAGTGGAGACTCCAGGAGTGAGGACTTGTAGAACACCACATGCACTTCTATTAAAATCAGAAGAGCTTATGTCAGCATTGTTTGTCAGGGCTGATCCAAGTGGGAGGAGGAGCAGGGGTCTGGAGCAGCAACAGTACTGGCTGCTCCAGCCTTTTCTGGGACTGAGCTTGCAGTCAGAAAGACCTTGTGGGACCTTGAACTCTATGAAGGGGAATGAAAGCTATCCCTGTTTTATCCAATAGTGTGTAAAACGGCAAACTGGTCCTGTAACTAAGTTATGGATGAAGCAGTGTGAAAATGCTATTGATAGGAACTGGACTGCTGTGCTGATTTCAAGGTTAAATAAGTAAGCTTGTGTTTGCTTAAGTGCTGTCTTCTATATGTAGGAACTTTCTGGAGATAGATGCAAGGCATTTTGATGTGCTGTATATAAGGCACTTAAATAATCGAAGAGACTGTAGTAGAGCGCTGCAGGAAGCATAACTGTCTTTACAATTATGGGAAACGGAACATCTGAGCCTTCCTCTTGCATTAGCAATAGGCTTGCCATGAGTTTATTGTTTTAACAAAAATACAAGACCTGTATAGAAATATAGCTGTGTATAGAAATGCACTTTGGAACCACAGGAATGTGCTTCCTAAGTGAAGAAACAGAGGGAGCAATCTGATTCTTACATATGTTTGCAATCCATAAATATTTTCCTGTAGTTTACTTTTATGGTACTAAGAAGTGGAAACTGTTTAATTTATGACATGAGACATCTTTTCCATGACAGTTTTGTTGTAGGCTAGTGTGTTTTCTCATGTACAGGTTTGTTGTTTGTTTGAAGGTTTTTGTTTTGTATTTTGAAACTTGCTGAAGCACATGGAAAGTGAGTTAACAAGAAGCAGATTTTCGATTGAGGTCTCCCTAATGATATAATGTTAACAACTGAATAAAACATATTTTCCTTCCTGGAGAGAGTGTCAGTGGCAAGCGATAATGATATGTTTCTGTAAGCCAGTAAGCAACATAGTTGGTGTTCCTGCATTTTGTCTGGATTAGGCATTCTTTCAGTATTTACAATTATGAACCCCTTAAAATGAAACAGAAGTATACAATTAGGTTGGCTTGCTGGGAGCTCTCCAGCTTCTCTGACACTTTGATTGATCTGTCAGAGCAAAACTCACCAGAATGGTACTTTTCCTGTCTGATTTTTAAAGAGACAAAAGAGCAACCATGCCATTATAACTTTTGCAGGAACATAAAGCCAAGCAGCTGCTCCACATGCCTGTTCCTGACTTTTGCCGCTCCAAAATGAGCTCAAGGAGGACAAAACTGGGGGGGGGGGGGGGGGGGGGGGAGGGACAGAAGAATTGTCAGCATGTGCAGGTGACCCAGAGCAAAGATGTACCAGGGAGGAGCATAAATCGTCAGAAAACCTAAGTAAATATGTGATAAATTTGATGATAAGGAGACATGGTAGCCTATTCAAGAAGTGTACACCTGGAACACCTTTTTCCGCCCAAGCGATACAGAAAAGGAGTAGGTCAGTGCTAGGTAGTTTGCTGCTGAAATTGGCTTTATTTTTCTGTTTGTCTTGCCTTCCTAAGGTGAAGCTAACATCTATTTCACCAGGATCTGTGTGACTCCCCAGAAGATCTTATGCGGGTTACAAGAACTGTTCCTGTAAGGGGGAAGGGGAGAAAAGAAGTCTTTAAGGTGTTTATTGGCCAGACCCTATATTCCAGCAAGCCTTTTCTGGCTGTTAGTGGTGCTGGGTTCTGGCTTGTGATGCTGCCGCAGCTTTTCTACATTGGAAGCTTCCCTTGCATTGAAAGGGAGTCACTTTGCATGTTCTGGTGTGATGAAATGCGAATAGCTTCTAAAGGGGTAATTTAAGGGTTCCTTCAGTATTTCACTCACTCTGCCTTTGAGCCTAAGCATGTAGAAGTTTTTCAGGTGGCCAAATAACATGGTAGCCTCTTTCATAGCTTTGAAGATGCTTCCGTGGATATATTAACACTTAAAGTGAAAGCTTGGGGCCTGTTTCTTCCTGGCACTCTCCTGAGTTGCCTCTTGTATTCCTTCTGTCCCATTGAAAAAGAGAACCTATTTTCATAAGCTAAGGTATTTCAGTAAACAATGAAAAGCATCCCAGTTGTTGAGTTTGGCAAGTGCTCCCCCTCTGTGCCAGCTGTTACTTAGTCACAGTGGTTGGCTGTAGAGTTCTCATGAAGGAATCTAGTGAAACAAATCAGGCAGCGTGAAGATTACCACAGCCAGGGCTGTCTTTAGGGGAGGTTGTGGCCGCCTGGCTAAATTCTCATTCGTTATGCATAGCCCAAGTTATGGTATGGATGGGCTGTGTTTGTGAGAGAAGGAAAATGCTCTCCTCCTGACCAAGGAGAAGGCCAGCTGGCGACAGCCTTTGCAAGCTCAGGCTGTGGTAGAATGATGCATTCCTATCACATGTTGGAAAAAATGGAATGGCGTATTTTTAAACCACTAGTGCTCTTTCTTACTGCTTTTAACCCATCAAAACCAGTGGCACGTTGTTTGTGGGGAGAACTGAGGGCACACTGTAACTTGCTGCAGTGTGGTTTCTCTGTACCACACCACCAGTGGGAATGGCACTGGTTCTGCCATCAGGGACTCTGGTGCTTTGTGCTGCAGGGTGTAGGCAGAGGAGGTTTGGCAGGACTAACCCTTAGCTGCAGTTTTGTTTATTTTAATAGCCATTCTCAGGAGTATTCCAAGTTGACTGTACTGCCCCTTAAAGTTAGCCAGAAGTTTCTCAGACCCAGGAATGGAACACTCTTCTACTTTTTGTGTTTACTTTTGAGGTTTTTTTTTAAAAAAAATAGTAGTTCATTGTTTGCACTTAGAAACCTTCCCTTCTTGAATCTGAGGTTTAACGTACATTCTAAAATCCCTTTATTCAGCCTTGGCAGCGCTGGCTCTTACAACTGGGGATTCTGGCTAATGCAGTCCACCAGACATACCAGGTAACATGGATTATTTTTTATTGTTTTTGTTCACTAATACTGGAAACGAAGCTCCTTGTATCCAAAGCTAATAAATTTTGTGCCTGTGTAACAAAGATTAGAAATGCCATCCCCATCTTATCTCTGATTTGAACCCCTAAAGGCGTTTTGACCTTGGAGAGCCTGGGAGCACAGACTACATGGTGAGGGGGGGAAGTGAGATACTGGGACTTGCTCTGCTCTTTTTACTGGCGAGAGCAAACTCGTTGCTGTGAGCATGCCTTCAGTGGAATAAGATTAAACCCATGCGTTTTTAAGCACAGAAATAATTATAACCTGTTAGCTCTGCAGTTCCTGACTTCATGAAATAATGCTGCCCAACAAATGGGTTTGCAAAGAAGAAGAATCTCTTGTTGCTTCTGTGGGATTTCTTTTTAATTTATTTATTTTTTTTTAATGACACCAAGCCCAGTGATGATACAGCAGCTGGATGACCATCATGAGTATGTTCTTGAGGGGTATCAGACTATGGCAGCTGAAAGACAAGCAGGGACAGGATTGCCTGCCCTGGTTCCTGCCAAATCACAGTTGTGCACTTACAATAGCAAATATGACTGTCCCTAACTGATCTGGAAGGCAAAGCTATGTGTCTGGGACCTGCAAAGATGGATTTCAGGATGTTTCTACTGGGAAGTACACCACCTCTGTTAATTGTCTCTTGAGTAAATAGTTCTAATGTGAGTTGCGGGAGACACGGTAGAGAGCTTTATTGTCTTCTACTTGGCTGTAGGAAATCTTGTTTCCAAACTTACAAGGAGGGTAAAAATTCTTGGAAGATAGCTTTGTAAATGCAAATTACTAATAGCAAATATATGGCTATGTTACCCAAGATAGTGTCCATGGACAAGCTTCATTACTTTCTCCCTTTTTCATCCTTTTGTGCAGAGTTGGGCCGTTTTGGCTGGTGGGGTATGTCCATCTTGCTTTCAGTGATGTTGCCAGAATTAGTTCTGCTACAGTACAAGACATTAAAATATACCTGGTGAGAGATAAAGATATATCTATACAGTCATATTTGATAACCAATAATAATGGGCTCTTTTGCTGAGACATTTGAATGGAGTACCAGTAACCCGTGATCTGTTGCTTACCAGAAATGAGACAGTTGCCACATACTTCACAAGGCAGTAAGTTTTCATTTGCTGTGCTTCTGGCCTGAAGTGGAGCAAGTTGCGGTATCTCTTTAAGAGGAGTTTTGGGAGTGTCTGGGGTATGGTATTTGCTCCCTGTTCCACCTGCTTCCCATTTTCACAGCAGCTTTTCAGGCATTCCTGAATATTTTCTTTGTATATGTTAGTGAGGGGAGCCTTCAAGTGCTGCATAGAGATCATCAGTAACTTAGCTGAGAAGTCCGTAGCCTCTTTCATGTGAATAGGTCCTTGCCATTGCGAAGAATTCATTCATTTTGTTGGCAGTACAAGCAAAACAGCCAGAATGGAGACCCAAAGGATATGGGCTAAATATTTCCCAGCTTTTAGCAGTAGAAGCATCAATTGCTTGATTTCAAAGGCTTGTTGTCAATCTTACATGCATAGCATTTGTTTTTCTCTCTTAATGCTAGTATTGAATCACACCAATTACATTATTACAGTACACTGTGTAAAACATGCCGCCGTTCTGTATAGATGGGTTGCAGTGAATCTGGCAATTATGTCTATTATGAAAAGACACAAGTTGAACATTAGAATGCCCATGAATTAGGGGGCAGGCAGCAGGCACTCATTAAAGATTTTAATTGCTTTCTTTTCTTTGGAAAAAAGCAGGGGGAACCATGTTTCAAAGCGAGCAATTAAAGGATACTTCATAGCTAATTGCTGTGAGAAGGGGTTGCTACATGGAATATACTCTATTGTAATTTATATGATGGCTTGACGTTTTATTAAGAAGCACATCTTTGTACTGTGGTAAAATTTAATTTTCTGCAGCGTAACTGCATGCGTAGTAACTTCTGAAGTAATGGCTCTTTGGATTTGCTGTGGCTCTTTTCCTTTCTACATGTAATAAACATGCCATAAATAAGCTGTAATTATCAGTCATTGATGTACAGCAAATCCTCGGTGGATAGGTCACTTACCTAGTTTGCAGCTACATATATTGTATATGTGGATAGGAAGGCACAAGCTGTCTGTAGCTCAGCAGGGTTGTTAGTTAAATTGTAGATCCTCGGAAAGGCAGATCTCCCTGCTGTCAGAGCCAGCATGGGTCTGAAAGTCCCATAGTGGTGTACTGCTGCGGTTTGGAGCCCGACCTAAAAAGCCCTGCTGAACCCCAGCCGGCTTTCTGCCCGGTCAGGTTGAACACCTGAGCTGGGGTTCAGGCGGGATACAGAGACCTCACAGGGGCCGAGCGCCGCGTCGGCGCCGGGGCAGCAGCGTGTGCTGGAGCCTTTCGGGCGTGCGCGGGCTGCAGGTGTGCCCTGACCCTGGGCTGCGGAGAGGGAGGGCGGAGGGTGCTCGCTGGCCTGCGTGCGGCCCAGTTGGGGCTGACTACAGGATGTGTCTTATCTCCCCAAATAGGATTGATTGGTGTCATGTCTGAGCCACCTGCGGGCACAGCTAATTGTGTGTAATGCATCCCAAAATACGCGAATGCCGCGCGTCTCGGGGTTGCTCCGTTACCTAGGAGCACCTCAAACAAAGGGGCATTGACTGGATATTTTTGCTCTGCATAATGCAAGTTACGCTATCTCCCAACGGTTAAACTCCTGTTGGTAGCATTAGTGACCTTCTCCATCCCACACAACAGCCCTGAACAGAGGTGCTCTTCTTTTAATGGTGTGACTCACCATCTCTCCCCGTCCTGCTCGTGTGCTGTGAGGCATGTCTCTGTGACAATGGGAACAGCTTAAAGGGAAGAGTCATGCCAGGGGTGTTGAAAAGGTATTTGTAGCTATGTTTTACTGCTGCTTATAGTGGAAGAGGAAGAAATAAGGTGGTAGGACAATTTGGGAATTGCTGTTTATGTTATTGATACACTGGAGATCAGTGTTCTACAAATAACCTTTTTTCCATTTGTGTTCAGGAAAATTAGTGGTCTGAAACAACAGAAACACAAGTATTGAAAAAATGTTTGTGTAAATGGCTTACAACTTTTGCGCTCTCAAATGAGCAATTAAATACCTTTCTCTTTATGTATATTTCAGTAAGTAAAATTCCCCATCCAACAGAATTGGTGTATGCCATGTCGCACTACCTCTTAGAACTATTTTGTACCTGTACTTATCAGTGACTGTCAGGATTTCACACTGCCAAATTGAAGTTTACAAAAGCATAAACAAAGGTAAAGACAAAAAAAATGGCTAATGGTGATCTTGGACTCAGCATCCTTCCTTCTGTGAGAGGCAAGCCACAGAAAAATGCATTTACCTGAGTGGGTTTCAAGAAAGTGATTCACATTCCCTTCTTTGCCTTCCTGTATGTAACACCACAGTAGTAAATGATACCTTGAGCCTTGGGAAGATGATTTACATTACTGTTAGACACACTCCATGTCCTTGCTACTGTTCAGTCAGTTTGGTACGAGGTTTGCACCTTTTGGTTTTGGGTTTGATTTGTTTATATCTCTGTGATAATGTGGGAACTTGTTGATTTTTTTTTTTCTTTTTTTTTTTTGAGCAGCTGCAATTAGAAATTGGAAATAGGTTCAGTATGAAAAAAGCTGTTGGGATAGAAGTGACAATGAATTTCCTCACTGTTATGCATGCAAGTATAGAGAGAGATAGATTGCAGTGACCTTCTGTAGCTTTGAGATTTGAACGCTTGAGCAAAATAAACAGGTTTATGACCTTCTTGGAAAGAATATTAGTCATGCCTATGCATATGGTTTTTTTAACTGCTGCCTGCTTAGGTAAAGTACAATATGTGCAGTATGTTCAGTATGACTGCAATTTTAGAATGTTGCATCCTTGTAATATGTCTCATTCCTGTTTATTGCAGGATTTGGACATGTTCTTCTCTCTAGTACCAATGTCTGTTAGCAGACCTTAATAGCCACTCACCAAGTTTGATTAATTTTCTGTCTGTGTTAATGCATCAACTTAAAAATCATAGCTTGGTACTAGATGGATACGCAAAAAAGCATCAGGCTGTAGCTGACTCTAATGGGAGGTTGATGATGAGATTAAAGAACATGAGGGTGCTATCTCAGTAGCTATTTTCTACAAACAGTTGTCACAACAATGTAACCAGTGCAGGAAAAATTGTTAAAGCTATTGTATTTACGTAGGAGGATTCACTGGGCAGTAAGCATCGTTCTGTATATGCTTTGTCTTTAACTCTCTGAAGTAGCAATCACAGAATCATTCCGTATATGCCTTTAACTCCTTTTTTTCCTTTTAAAGTAGCAATCTTGGGTTAAATTCAAGCTGATCTTAAATATCTTTTTTTTTTTTTTTTTTTTTTTATTCTTATTTGTTTAGTTCTGCTAATAAAGGTAGATGAGCTATGCTTCTGTACTCTGTAAGATTTTTCTCTCTGAACTTGACTTCATTCTCTCATGAAACCTGTTGTTCTGAACTATTTTTTAAAATCGCAAATTATATCTTTTGCAGTAACATGAAAAAGAAAAATCCTTTTGTGGCTACAAGAGTTTGGTGTAAGTTTATTTGTGCAAACACTAGACTGCGTCTGACCTGTCAGTTTGCCTTTAACTGCAGTTGCCATTTAGCTGTTGGTTGTGATTGTGTTAGGTGTCAGTAATTGTGTTTGCTGTCTCGGCTGGAGGCTGTGATGAAGAGTGCTTGGAACTGGGGCATTACACAGATAGTATCATGATGAAACAGCTGCAGCTTAATCATAATGAAATATGCGTGGGCTTTAAGGGCTGCATATTCTGGAAATTTTTGTTACACTTAATTCCTATGTTTAACCTTTTTAGGAAAAAAATCTCCCTGCAATTATAAAGAAATAGATGTAAGATTATAGTAGTAAGTATTATAAAATAAATTGCATAACCTTCCAGCTTCAGGGAGGGAACATTCTGTTGTCAGGTGAAACTGCTGGCAATCTTTGTAATTTTTCTGATCTTTTAGTTGTCTAGACCTGAATGTCTGATGTTGCACCCCTTTCAGCTGAGGAGCCCAAGGCAGTGTGTCTGTGCTTGCAGTCAGCACCGGCACTCAATGGCACCTAGCACTGCCTCTCTTGCAGCCTGGGTGCAGTCCTCTGTATTCGGAAATCAGAGGGGCTTTTCCGTTTACTCTGGGATTGAAATCTCCCTCCTTGTGCTCAGAAAACAGAGAGGCTGGGTCTTGAGGTAAATCTGAGCCTGTGGCATATGGTAATTTGGGACATCCTTGAAAATTGCTAGACTGATCATTTTCTGTCAAAAGTAATGTTTCTTTTTGATCTAGGCTGAGCAATGCACTGGTAGATTATACAAAATTAACATTTATAAGATTCTGGTTTTTTTAATTATTTGGTATTGTGTTGCCCAGACCTCCAATTACATTAAATTGATGACAGGCAAATCTGATTACTAAGGCAACCTGCTTAAATTAAGAAATAAAAGTCAGTAGCAGAAAAGAACAGCAAAAACACATGCTATTGGGAAGAAATCAAGTGCAAACACAGAAGACAAAATATCTTCCATGGAATATCAAAAGCTATCAACCATGGAAGCAGTTATCACAGTTGCAGACAATTGAAGTAATAAGGAATGTGGTTTAAGGATGGCCTTGAATTTCTAACTCTTGAGGAAATGGGATGTTAGGTCTGTTTCCTAATGCCCTAATTCTGTGAAACAAATTCAGATGAGGTATTCCTAGGAGCTCCTTTTTGTACATACAGATATCTTCTTGAGTTCACTTTATGTGGATAAAAAGGAAACACCTTCCTTATGTGAGGATGAGTTAAAAACAAACAAACAAACAAAAAAAACAAAACAAACAAAAAAAAATAAAATAAAAAAAAAACAAACAAACAAACAAAAAAAAACCACAAAACCCCAACAAAAACTAGAGATTATTTTAAACAGTGCTACAGATGATGGGTAGAACTTCCTATGGAGGAGTTGTCAGTTCTCTCTTGCTCTTTTGGAGTCTGATGCTTCATTTGTGTCTGTGCCCAGGCAAACCGGGACGCAGTGATCAGCCGAGCCCCAGACCAGCAGGATGACCGAGCTGTCAGCCTCCAGGATGCTTCTGCAGTCTATGACCTCCTCAGTATCACGCTGGGCAGAAGAGGGCAGTACGTCATGCTGTCTGAGGTACCTTCTCCTGGCTTCTGCTGAAACTGCCCCTTGAAATGTACCATCAAAGCCCCTCTTTGCAGCAACTTGTCAGGGAAGGTGAAAATAAAGCACACTAGTTCGCAATTAGTAAAAACAGCACCAGACCTATGGCAGCACAGGCCAGAAATGTACACAGAACTGCCTGAGACATTAAAATAATTTATATATAGAGACATTTGAACAAAGTGGCTGGCATCTGAAGTGATGGTGTATGCTAGCAAGTCCCATTAACTGACCAGGGGAAAATGATGTTATTTAAAAAACAAACAAACAAAAAAAACAACCAACCAACCAAAAAACCAACAACAACAAAAAACCCCCCAAATCAGCTGGGCCCTGGGCCACAACAGATTGTTTTCCCAAATTTGATTACTGAGCCAAGCAGCAGTCTTGACAAAAGATATTAAAAAAAAAAAAAAAAAGTCTGATATTTCTCTCAACATTTATTTCTCAGTGCTTGGAGAGAGCCATGAAGTTTGCATTTGATGAATTTCACCTCTGGTACCAGCTTGCCCTGTCCATGGTGGCTTGTGGAAAGGTAAGGTTCAAACCAAAGGGCTTACAAAGGGCATGATTTCCTCTGGCAGACTGTATCTAGCTTACTTGTTTGAATGTGTGCAGTCATGTATTTTATGGGGGTAGGTGCCATCAGACAGCTATGTGGAAGGACAGTGCTTTCCTTTTAGACTCTGATTGCACTTTGTGATCAGGTGTGTGCATGTGGTACTGAGTACTGTTCTTTCCATGTAGTGTTTGCTTCTCGTTATCAAAGAGAAGACAGATTTTGTGCATAGTTGTGAATTGAAAAGCATTATACAACTGTCTGTTCTCTGCAGGCTCAACATAAATGAGCTTAGTGTAAGAAAGATACTGATGTCTAAAGCTGTCATCAGCTCACTCTGTGTCTTTGGGCAGTTGACCTGACCTCTCTTTAAGCTTTGGTTTCTCCATCTGACCAAGGTCATGCTTTTTCATAGAGAGCTTGCAAGGGTTAATATTTAAGTGCTTGATGCAAAAGATAGTGTAGAAAAAGAAATGATGTGTGAATGTTTGCATGGATGTGTGTTTTAGTGTGAGCTTTTTAAAGTTAGTGTGGTATTTGTCAAAGTTACTAGTTAACCACTGAGATGGGTGTAGTCTGTTTGCGAAAGGTAGGCAGAGGCATCAGGAGCTTTTCTTTAGCAGTCTTAAAAGAGTAGACTTCCTACAGGAAACATGGATGGTACAAAATTTATCCTGTTTGTTCTGGGGGTCCATGCCTACATTTTTAGGAGGTGTGAGCAAATTAATGCTGTGCGGTAGTAGACCACTTAATATGGTCCTATATTCGGTGCCCATGGAGTATTGCAGAATCCATGTGGAACTGGGCAGAGACCACCAACTAGCAGTCATCTGCCAAATTATAACTTCTACTGCCCTTTTATGGCTGTAAGCTGAGTTGGAAACAGTGGCTTTGGCATGGAAGTGGGAGATGAATATACAGTGGCATGCTTTTGCAAAGAATTTGTCATCGCGTGATATATAAGTGGCAGCAAAGCTTGGCAGATGTCTGAAGGGAATCCTTCACTTCTGTGAGCAAAAGCAAAGCCTTATCTTGGAAGTCTGTTGTTATGCATTATACTTAAAGAAAATGGCAGAACAGGAAGAGAAAGTCTAATAAAGTGCCTCAAGGATGGCTAAGGGTATAGTAAGCAGGACTGTGGAAAGATTGAAAGAATTGAATTTTTTTTTACCTTAAAGGGGAGAAAAAAGTCCGAGAGAAACAAGTATTTAAGAGCTTTTAGAAGGGATTAATCTTGTCTATGGTGGGTAGGACAAGATGCGATGGCTTCCAGTTGCAGCAACACAAGTTCATGTTTCCTATTAAAAAGCAAAACAAATGAGAGTGATAGACTAGGAGAAGATTGTCTGTGGAGTCTGTGTCACTGGGGATCTGTGGAACCCCCTAGATAAATATCGGTCAGTAGTGACCCCACTGTGATGCACCAAGGGTGTACTTGGTGGGACCTTGCAAACTCTGACTCTGTTCTGTGACTCCACAGTTGCCTCATAAATCGGCTAGATCTGTTACAGTCAAAAGGAGACACCAAAACCTTGGCAAAGCATGTTAGATCATCAGGGAGCTGAAGGGAGATGTTTAGTGAAGAAGAGGCTCACAGGTTCCCATAGGAGTCCAGTACAAGCATTTCAAAGTCTAGTTCCAAGTATGAAAATGTTGGCTAGACTCAATCATGTATAGGGAAACCCGAAGCTTAAACAATGAGCTTGGTGCCATGGTGCTAATACCTTGTGCTGGCCTATGTCAGGTTGGTGGTTTATAAGTCAGGTCCAGCTCCTCTTGGCATTCAGCTGGAGTTAGCACGTTGCTGCCCTCTGTGCCTTTGCAAATCCTCCTGATACCTGATCTCTTGATACTGAGAACAACAATAACTAGATAGGCTATGATGGAAAGTCACAGTATCTTCCCACAAATGCAGAACTTGTCTGGGAGTTTTATTGGCTTTACACGTTGTATAACCTATTTCTCAGCAGCAGACAATGCTGTGGCTCTAGTAATCTGCTGGAGAGCAAATCTAGATTTTTATTTTTTAACTGCTGATGGTTGAGAGAGTGAGTGTATCCAGAGAGTAATTGTGGTTCAATTTTAGGTTGGTATGGAGCAGAGAAATGGGACCTATCTTTAGGTTCTAACAATTTTCATGAGAACTCTGTCCTTGTCCTTCTATGTTTGCATATCTCTTTACATTCCGTAGAAGTTACTGCATATTTGGTACTTAAGAGGAAAACAAAAGAGCAGCACAAGTGTCTATATCTCTATAACTGTCCTATCTTTTCAGATTTTCAAGTATGCCATGTCTTTTTGCCTGTACTTTAAATATTTAGAAGGTAAAATGGCCTGATCTTGCCTATTCATGTAAAAGCTCTAAATGTTTTGAGCCCTATATGGGGCAGAGGGAATTCCCTTACCCAACAATTCCATCTGTGCAGTATTTCACTTCTAATCCCAAAGTATTCCCTGAGGATTCCTGTCGTATACTCTGCAATGCGTCATCTTGCTAATGGGAGATGTGGCATACATTTTTATATTGCTTCACAGCTTGATAGCAGGACAGAGTTCATTTAAAAGTAAGTGATCCAGTGTAGCAGAAAACTTGATGAGAAAACAGTGTGGTCTGTCTAGACTGCAGAATGCAAAGTAGACTTGAGCTTTTAGAGGTAAAAGATCTGTTTTCACCTGTCTCGGTCAGAGCCAATTCCTGATCTCATTTCTTGGTAATGAAATCTCACATCCTGCAGCGTTACTTGTTCTGCAGTACAGCAAATCATGTTCATAAATTCTGGGTACAACAGGAACAGTTTTATCAACTTGTAAATGCTAGAAACTTGGGGGTCTCTTCATTATTTTTTTTTTTTTTAAACACTGTTTTAGGATTTGCAAACTCTGACCTCCTTAAAAGTGCTGTAAAGTCCTACCTTGCCCTTTATTCTACACTGCGTTTGACTAGTGTTATTTTTATTGTGTATATTTGTCGTCTTCGGGTTAAGTCAATCAAGTTGAATTTCAAACTATTTATTCTTCTACCAGCCAAAAAATTGCCAAATGGTGACTGTCATTTTTCACAAGTGATCAGTCTGAATGTCAAGCCAGCCACTGAGGCTCATTACTAAATGTAGGCTTGAGTTTACACGTTACTCTAAAAAGCATGCATCTTAACAAAAATAGGCACATCACTTCAGTAAGTTCTTACAGAGCAAGCAAGGCCTTAGGGTTTCATAAAATAGTGAATGAAAAAGCTCAGAAAAGCATAACCTTCATGTCTGTCTTCCATCCACTTAAGCAGTAGAAATAATGGAGTGACAGCAATTTCACTTTCCTGTGCTTCTCAACAACTTGCATAATGAGAAAGATGGTGTGGTCTGGTTGGTTTTTAACCCATTCTTGGGAATGTGTGTATGCTGACCTGTATATTTTCTGATCGAAAGGAGCATGTTTATTTAAATGATTAAACTCCACTATGAAATTTGAAAGACTTTATTAGGCAATTTTAGCTGAAATGCTGGGAAAGCCTAGGCGATGGCAAAGACATAGTGAGAGATGTCTTCTGTCACCAAGTGCAGTTCTGGATAGGTGAGAGAAAGGTTTAAATCAGTGTAATGCAGCGTCCCTGTTCTTAACTGGTGCTGGGTAACCGAATGCTGAACTCTTCAGAGCTACTTTAAGTTGCTTCTGCCAGTAATAACCTTTGCTATGTGGTAATATGACAGCCAGAGGCTGAGTGGGCATAGCAGCTCCTTGGCTCTGCTGCCATGTGTAGGCAGACTGGGGCCCAAGTGGCGAGTAGTATGATAGCCAGATGCTATCTGGCAGAGTCCTCAGTCAGGGAGATGAGCCACTGTCCTGCTGCCAGAGTAAAATGATTGCAGTAGGTTGCATCTGCTTGTCTTAAGATTTTGAAAAATTAAAGTGACTTGAATTCAGCAGAATGGGGACAGGAAGGATCACACTCTTATTTACGGAGTGGAGAAGACTTTGTAGCCTTCACAGTAGTGAAGAGACAGGCAGCTGTTCAGGGCAGATTTGTTCTCTGCTGCTGCTTTTCAGCTAAACAGTTTCCACTGGACGGCATGGAGATTACCAACACACAGCACTCCTGAAGACTAGAGTAGCTCTACTGACATATCTGAAGTTGGAGGAAAAATTGTCGTAGTGTCTAGATGATGTCTTACAAGCACAAGGGATGTGAAATAGGGTCCCTGTGCACTTGCAAACATTTCCCTGGCCTCGGACCAGCTGTATCAGTTACATGTTCCCTTGTTCAGATTTCTGTTCCCTTCCACACTTAACAGCCTCACCCAGGACCCAGCCTGGGTGTCCCAAAGTGTCACTGGAGCACTCTGGGAATAGAGACTCAGAAGTGCCTTGTGGGATTGGGCTCTAGCTTAAATTGACAGTACTTCAGAAAGCCTTCTAGATCTGCATCGTGGCTTTTTTTACCTGTCGTACTGCTTAAGGGAATGTTAAACTGGTAAAATATGTGCCTTGAACAACATGATGCAACGTTGATTCCACTCTTCTACCTACCAGCCAAGGCGTCAAGATTAGTATTTAGTGACAGTGATGTGCCATTTTCTGAAGGATAGTGAGGGGGAGGGGTTCTTCAAGGGTAGATGTGAAATTGTTCTGTGAACACTGAGTCTACTTAGCCTAAAAGCGCTGAATACCCTAATTGAGCTATTCAGCTTGCAGCAGTCTTACACTGGACTCTCATGCCTAGTGGATGCATATTATTATTATTAGTGTACACAATACATAAAACCATTTTCATGCTCATATTTAACGTTTCTGCCAAAAAAAAACCCCACAACACAACTTGCTTAGTGAATTAAAAGCTTTAGGGTGTGTGTTTCTTGAGAGGAGGGGTGGGGAGGTATACAGTCTCAGGCCAGCTGAGGGAAGTCTGGAACATCTGCTCAGAAGAGGACAATCTGCTCCTACCCCTCACCCTGTATACTCATTTAGGGGATGAAGTGCAACAA